CTTTTATGAAAAATTCAACACATTTGGGGGTGAGCAGGAATACTGCATTTTTTGTCATTCAGGCAGCTTGTACTACCCTGATTCAGAAGAATCTCAGCCATTCTCTACCAAATAACTAATAACCACAACTCATTATTTCATGACATAGAGGTTGTGTATTTGCTGCATGCAGTTCATTCACCCTTCTTCTAGCAACCCTGTTGGGGTGATGGTTTCCCTGTGCATTTTCTACTGGTAACGTTACAGGCCTGACCACCCCGCCTTTAGTAAGGTCCAGTTAACTCTTTCTCCTTTTAGTTGCAGAGACATCTAAATAATACTCCATTTATTGTCTGCTAATTTGAGGAGCTCACAAATGATGTTCTCAGCTGATGGCAAATTGTTATCTCCAAACTGATGAATAAGCAATCATCTGTTATTACCCTTGTGGGGAAATAGCTGTGTTTGCCCTATTGACCCACACATTTCTGCATGTGGCTCAAACTGTCTGCCTCTCAATTCAGTCTCCCACAACAAAGGCACACTGGTGAAATGCTTGCTTTCTGTTCACAACAAATATGTCTCCAGTGCATTTGTAATGCAGACTAGGTGAGGTTTTGCAGTTGCCTGATATTCAGCACCTTCCTCTGTCGTCACTGCAACTCTTCCTGAATGACTAATTTTCACACCAGCCTCAGTTAAAACCTGTTCTGATACTGTTTCATTCTCTATACCACAAAGCAGCTGTTCCATACACCATTTTAATTGTTCAGACAGGCCTATATAGTTCAACAGACACAAAATTGATTAGATAAGTCCTTAGGCTCAAAGGTCTGGAGAGACATATGTCATCTAAGGCATCATTCACCTCTTTAAAGCCTTGCAGAATCAATTTCCAGCCAGCCAGACATACCTAAATGTAAAATTGGAGAAGGCACCAATCCATTTTTACCTCTTCATAATGTGTATCAACAGCACAGAGGAAGGAACTGTTGGCTGGGAGGTGCACAGGTGTAATAAAAGACTTGAGGTGTTGCTAGGTGAAGCCAATTTGTATTTGCTTTTATTTTGTGGAACAGCATATGGCAGCTTTTCACTAAGTCTGAGGTCAATCCGATTTCTAGGCATAGAATAATTTACATGAGCGTGTCTTTAACCTGCTAATCTTTAGGACAGCACATTTTTCAGCCTGTGCAGCATGCTTTGCCTTGATGCCTAGAAGAGCTATCTCACTTTTCATTCATGAACCTGCTAAAGTTTGCAGCCTCCAGTGTAACCACAACTTGAAGACTGTCTGGGAGTCCACCTAAGGATGCTCTGCTCCATGACCCTGTGACTGCACACCTTTGCCTTCTCAAATCCACAGGAGCCCATCTTCCCCATTTAATCTCAATTCTTTTACTGTGAGACAGAAAGTGAGGCCCGTCAGCTGCCAAATGAATGGGCAGAAACACAGAGTGAACCACGTCTAAGGAAAAGACAGGGTTTTCCCCTTCTCACACAGAAAGAATATGAAGTAATGAGTATTTGCTCTGAAGGACAGATTAGTATCCCTTACTGGTTTTCCTCTCATTTTTTGCAGCACCACCCACTGTTTGAAATGAGAGGGACACCAGAGAGGTTCCTGTAAATGCCCCAAAGGGTTCTAAATCTTTGCTCAGAGGGGAATTGAAAAAAGAACAGATGGACTTGCTGTTAGAAGTGACCATGGGAATAGCCACGTGAGCAGAGACCAAGAAAATGAAGGAATTTGAGGGACCTGGGAAATCTTATCAAGGAAGATATTAAGAAAAAAGGGCTTCAAAAGCAGACTGAGCTGTTGTGGAGAAACAGGCCAAAGATGCATGGAATTTTGACAAAGAGGCAGCATCAGTACAGGAGTCCTGAGCCTATCTCCTACCTTTTGCCATACCTTCCCACTGCTATTCCATAGCTTATTAGGAGAGCCTGTATTTGGGGGAGGCCAGTCCATGAACCAGAGCAACACACAGAATTAGCCCTACTCAATACCGTCTCCTAAAAAAATCACAGCCCACCAGCAAAAGTGAATGGGCATCTGATAATCAGAGGTGATGGAGTCCTTTAAGAGGATTCTTTCTGTTGTACTATTTGCAGTCATGCACTTTAATCCTTAGTGCTTTGTGTAAAATTTTGCCTTTTCCAAATGTGACAGAAATTGCTTACACATTTGTTCCGGATTGCCCTGCATCTTTTTGTTACCTGAACAAAACACTGCAAAAAGAAGTAATTAATCTGATCTTGATCCATATTTTGCAGGGCACAACAATGGCATGCGCAGAGAATACTATCTGCTCTTTGCAGGCATCTTGCAAAGGTGTGCACCTGGATTATCTTCTGCTTTGCAGCAGGGTAGGTTCTTAAAATATGACAGCTGCAGGCATATCCATTGCTCAGAATAAGGGAAGCACAGACATCGTATTGAAGTCTGCAGTTTTCTCTAGGGTACAGAAGTGCAAATTTCCCCATTTTCAGAGAGAGGACTCTGAACCCTGCGGGCAGCTCCGCGCGCAGAGCGAGTGGCACAGCTCCTGCCTGGAAGCTGTAGCAGCCTGCAAGCTCGGGCTGACCGGTCCCATCTCTAGTGGAGGTGCCCACCACCAGCTTCAGAGGTGCTGGTAACACAAAAGGAAGGAAGACTGGGTTTAAGGACAGCATCTGTCACAGACCACCAACACAGGTGGAGAAAATGAGTAAGCAGCTTCTTAACTAGCTATAAATAAGTAGAAAAGAAAGTTGTTAGTATTTGATATTTCAGCTTGGGAGACGCAGAAAAATCTCGTTCACCCCATGCTGAAACATACTTAGAGCTTTCTTAAACAGTGGATGGTAAATTCTTAATTGGAAAATTGCACCCAATTTAACCAACTCACGGTAATTCTGTGCTAGGCTTCCTGCTGTCCAGCTCAAATGAACTGATCACTGAAGTAAAAATGTTATTTTTATATACAGACCCACACAAGCACCCTCCACAAATTATATAAACCAGTTCCTCCAAAAAGGTTTATATTCTGGGTATATAAAATTAACAATTAGCAGGCAACAAATAAATAATATGTGTTAATGGGATAACGTCATTGAAAGGCAAAAAAATTAAATGGTCCATAATTAAATTGTGGAAAGCACCATTTATCCTTGCCAGCCACCAACCCCGCTGGCAAGGGCTGCTCTGGACAGGAGCTCAGGCTAATGGAGCTACGAGCTCACCTGCACACAACCTGGTCAGTGATGGCAGACGCTATTAGCAGCTGCTGCCTCCTGTCTCAGGTGTGGAGGCTTCCTACAGCATCCTCGCTCGCTCAGGTCTCTTCCTATCAAGAAACCCTTGAGCTGACCATGAGAAGAGGGAGCAGGCACTGACCACCGGCAGAAGTACTGCTGCAAATGAGATTGATTTTAGTAGAAAGGTTTTCTTCTGTCTGGTTGTCAGAAAAACCTCTCTCTGGAGATGCTGGAGGATGCACGTTTGTGAGGTGAACTCATTACCCCTGGGGCTGAGGAAAGCTTCCCAAGGGTAATGAGCCGCAATGCCTGATATGAAGTAGATGTGCACACAGATTTGGCATTTACCTGCTATTCATGTGTTTGATTTTGAAATGAAGTGAAAAAATGCACAAATATCAAATATGCTTGTCAGCCAACACCATATAATGGCGGTCATTTCAAATATAGCCTGTTTCTTTGTAGCACCTGATATTCCTACCCAGTCCTGTTATCCCCCACATACTCTTTTCTTGACGCTGATTCACTCCTTTAAGGGAAGTATGAATACCTGAAAGCCTAGATCAGCAGGATGCTTTACATTTTGATACAACCAGCCTTCAGCACCAGATGAGCAACACAGAAATGAGAGGACATTCTTCCCAATTGTGGAATCCTCAACAAACACCATATTATTTTACTTAGCTGTGGTATGGAGATCCTGCCTTACTTTCCAAGTTGACAAGGCATAAGGGAACAAATTAAAAATATATTTATTCTGGATCATTTTTACTGACACAGTGAAAGCTAAATCTGTCTGTGACTTGCCCACTTCTGCCAGCATGCTCCCGAAAAGCAGAATAGTTTTGAAAGACAGAAACCTCCGAGAGTGCCAGCAATTGCAGGATTCCCCTAAACCAGGGTCAAACCTTGCACTCATCAACTCTGAGTCAAGTGGTTTTGGTAAACCCAAATCAGATACTTAGAGCAATACAGGTTTCCCATAAATGCCAAGACAAAGCCATTTGCTTTGATCTGACCAATGTTTTTGAGTTGACTGAGACTAGACAGGAACCAAACTCCAGTTCCCACACGTGAACACTGACCCAACATCTGCAAAGTTCGTGGCACAGATAGCCTTTATTTTGGTTAGACTATCCCGAATAGAGGAAATTACACATGCAAACAGGGATGTGATCCTCCTTATATTCATCCGTGGTGTTCTGATTTCAGGCATGTTTGGGCCCAAGTTTTCTGTGATAACCAGAATGGGGCAAACAGAATTTGCTACATATTTGGCATATCTTCATTTGATAGCCTTACAAGCTAATTCTGTTATTTAAGAATGCAGTAGACACTAAAACCACATACTGAATATCACATCGGATAGCACAATCAAACGTATGGTAAGGTACAGAGTATTCATAAAGAATCAGGAGACAAAATGCCAGAATACCATCCATACGCCAGTGGCAGAACGCATCAAATGAATGGGTAAATGTGACTAAGTCGTTAGTATCATTTTATCAGTTCACAAATATCACTGCTAAATCAAAGCAGCTATCTATTATTTGCCCAACATCCACAGGTTATTTTCCTTCATTACTCAACCTGCTTTAGTTTGATCCTATATAAGCTTAAAACTGTAGAAAAAAAATACAGCCTGTATGGAAAATTGCTGTGGGATTGCAAAAGACATAGAGCTTGCCAAAGAAAATGAACTCTAAAAACTGTTTTCCTTGTTCATGTGCTCTCTCCAGGCCCTCTTGTTTATGTAAGGGCTCAATATATGATCAAGTTACCTTGCGTCAGCCAGGCTGTGGTAATTGTCTGTGTGTGCACTTTTGGCCTGTAGCAAATGCAAGAAAATTTAACTCAGTTTAAGCCCCTTTCACTGCAGGCAAACCTAACACAACTTACCTTACATTCCCTGTAGAGTGGGAGCGTGCACCTAACTTGCACGCAGTGATATGCTACGTCCCAGGAGCCTTATGCTGTGTCTGAGACTCAGGATTATGAAAGACACCCTAAAAGCTCTGGGACAGCTTGTCATTTTTCTGTAAGTATATTGCACAGGCACACAAATGAAGGACTTACCTGCCATGCCTCAACCTTCTTAATGTCTGCACAGGATCCGTTAGTGAAGAGTCCTTTCCCAGGGGTACAGGTATATATATCCTGCAAGGCATGGGCAATAGAATATACTGCCAAATACACATTATAGGATATCCGCAAGTGTGTGTAGTCCATGTACGGTGTCTCCACACTGGTGATGTTCTCATCCCCTGTGCACGGAGGTCGGAAGGCAGCTGTTCCATTTCCAGCTCCCAGTCCCTCTTCATGGCCCTTGTGGAAGGAAGTTGAAGCTGCAGAATTTTTGGACCCATCGGGGAGATAGCAGTTAAACGTCTCCTCCCAAAACTCCTTGGCAAAGCCATTGTTTGTGGACTTCTTGGGATGCACCTTCTGCAGGAACTCACGAAAGCCTGGGATCTGTCCTGCCTTCAGCGCAAACCCAATGGTGCTGCCGATGACGCGGAAGAACTCTGGCATGGCTATCAGCGAAGAGCTGGCCCAGGCCTCGCTTGCCAGCCAGATCTTGCCAGTGATGTTTCGCCTGACTATCTCTTTGATGAGGGGCTCCAGGTCTGGGCCACTGGAGAAAACAACGATCACCCTTGCCGTGGAGTTCTGGATGACCTCCACCACCTGCTGGATCTCCTCTTCGTCTGAGTACTGGGAGATGAGCTCGCTAAAATCAATGCAGATGTCTCTCTCCTCCGCCTCCTCCCGAAACTTTTCAATCCCAGGCCGGCCATAGTCATCGTCAGCTGCAATCGTTCCCACCCAGTTCCAGCGAAAGTACTCAATGATGTCTGCCATCGCTGTGGCCTGGTGCTCATCATTCGGGATTGTGCGGAGGAAGGACTTGAACTGGTTCTTATTGCTCAAGAGACGACTGGATGAGGCATAGCTGACCTGTGAGAGCACAGTGAACAAGCAAAACACAGCATGAAGTGAACTGCCTGGGAATAAATTGCCTACATTTATCTAGAATCACTGTCAACCTGTGTAACCTCAGATGGGATGAAGAGAGAGCTGAGCACTGCACTGGCAGCCACGTACTCTTAGCCTGTGGTCGTACATGATCCACTCTGAGTCTGTATATTCTTGTAGCTGTGACTGTCTTACAGAGGCACACATACAGGAACAGCTGCTCAGACCCGAGAGACTGGAGCAAGCTCATGTCCACCTGTAAGGTCAAAGATCTGAGGGAGAGAGACACTGACACTAGCTTGGAGGAATGGCAAAGAGGTGAGCCACCGGTGGCCTACACGCACCTCACTGCACTTCCTGCCAAATCCAGAAACAAGAACAATGTATCTTTCAGATAAATGAGGGCAAGGCACATAATTCAGACAAAATGCAGGCTTCCTCTGTCCTGAACCAGACATGAGACAGCAGGCTGGTATTGCCATCCCAGACCTACTCTGAAGAGCACTGTCTGTCTCTTCTTAACTCTCACCTCTGTCCCCATCCTTAAGCAGGCTCCATCAGGCACTATATGCGTGTTATATACAATCCCTGCCAGCTGAAGTGAGAAGAATGTGATGTGTATCAGTTGCCTTGACCCTGCAGAGTGTTAAGGTAATGCTGGTTGATACTACCTTACCAGTATGACTGCTGGCCAGAATCAGCAAAGAAGCCAGTAGGCTTTCCACACTCCATGAGCCACCGTGCTTTACAGTTAAAATGGGATTTTATATCCTTTTCTAAACCTATCAAGAAATATCTTTTCCCTAATCAGAACAAGTGCCATCTGATCTTAAGATATAATTTGGATTTTCTACAAGTAGGAAGAAAACAATAAAACCCAGAAGAGAATAGTTTAAAGATCTGGAGAGCTTTTAAAACTCACTTATCTTTGCATTTTGAGATTGGTATCTGAACTCTTTAGGACTGACTCTCACTTTGAAAAAAATCTATAAACAGCTCATTTTGTACAAAGTGGAAGTTCACAGAAAATGTTAACTCCTTCTTAAATTCTGTCATTTAATGTTTCTCCAAGAAGAAAGAAAAAGAGGTCTCCTAGTGCAATTTCAAGGGCCACAGGAGCAAATCCTCCTTTCACAGAGCTATATTCTCCCCTGGACAGGCTCCTACGCAGCGCTACTCTCATCTCCTAAAACCTAGTGCCAGGGGGTGCAGGCAAGGTACCCGACTCCTGCATGTGCTGTAAGGGTTCACTGAGGTGAGATACCGAGAAACAGAACTGGAGTCATAACATTTTCAGTTTCTATGTCAATGGAACAAGTAATGAGCCTTACATTAATTGTAAAATATATCTCCAACTTGTACTGAAATGCAGGGTCTATTAAGCATAGATTTTCTAATGGCCTTGCTATAAATGGCAGCAATAATGCATATTCTAATGCTGCCCAACAACTCCCAGTTTAAAAGCCTGCTTTCAGTTGTCATACTTCAACCACCTGGCTGAGATTTCGTTCCAGAACTGAGCCTCCTGACATCTTACCCATTTCAGCAACCTCTCAATAAGACTGCTGCCTCGTAGCACAAATGCCATTCCCTGTTCAAAGGGAAAGTCTGAGAAGTGCAAACATCTTTTATGTTCAGTCCAACCCACCAACCCTTCTCAGCTGCCCTTGTTCAGTTGGTAATGTGATGTGTGAATTAACAGTATGCCTTAAAATGCCATCATGGTGTTTATTACACACCACCTTCCAATGCTACTCTAGGCAATACCTCGATAGCGTATATTGGTCTTAGCTTAAACCATTCTTGCCCTGCTCAGAGACCAAATGTCTATTTTTTCAGACTCCTGTGAGACAGTCAGATTTATAACATTAAATAGACAAGATATATTACTGTGCAGACAAGAGTCCTTCCTTCTTCATTTGTGGTGCAGATGGGAATTGGAGCCCAGGCTGAAATAAAGATATATCCTCTCAGGACAGACTGAGAGTGCAGTGTGACACAATCTTGTTACAAGGACTCCTGTGAGTTCTGGCACCTGTATTTGTTTTAGAAGAGGAATTGGAAATGTTAGGCTATACAAGGCAACACATAAATGGATAAGGCCAAGCACTTTTTTCAAAGTTGTCTTCAGTGTGGAAATCTAAAATCAAGAGCAACAACATTAAGCTATAACATGCCAGACTCATACTTTGCTTAGGGTCTTGGCAGAGCAGCAAGTTTGTTAAATGAAAGGATGGGCCCGTGGATGCCAGCACTGGCCCCAGTAGAGTCAGCAGACAGCAAGAAGGATGCTGCGACGCAGGAGCTGGCCACAACTACACCACCACACAGATGACCCCAGGACAAGGCGGGGCATATCCACATGCTCTCACAAACCCTGTTCTGGAGGCTGTAGGGCAAAAGAAAGGCAGGTCAGCCCAGAAGGAACCTTCACAGCACTTGATCAGCAGAAGCAGCAACTTTACAGATCACTTACTTGAATCATCAGAGATGCTGAGAGACCTAAGAGTAGCTGGCAATGACTGAGCTCTGCCTTAAGGGGGCTCTGTGGGAATTGGGCATGACTAGACAGTGACCATGGTGAAATAACATCACAACTAACCTGTCAAGGCTGGCAACTGCCAATGACTGACCTAAATTACCCGTGTTCACAGACTAAACCACTCTAGAGGACTCTAGTCCTCCTACACTAATTGCTGTTGGCTGAGTGTTGTTACTGGCTGGTAACCTTTGTGTTTGGGGATTGCAAATTGCTAGCAAGACATATTTCTACCATAAGAAACCCTCCACATTTTGTATTGTTTCTCTCCTTGAGGTTCTATTGGAAATGGCAAAGATTAAACAAGCCATGGAGGCTGAACTCCCCTTGAGACCTTTCTGGTGTGCAGTTAGGACACATTGGCAGAGTGTGGGACGGAGAAGCTGGCACAGCCATTGTACATACCTGTACTGGCCCGAATATATTTCTGGTAAATGTGAGCCTGAAGACTTGTATCTCTGACAAAAAAAAAATTTGGTTTGATTTGACATAATAAGTTTGGAGAGAAATAGACAGCTTGCTTTCATGTAAACTGTTGTCCCACTTTAAAAGCCAGTGCTTCTCAGCCTCAGCCCTCCCAGGATGTATTCATACGGCTAGGGCCATTGCATTTCTAAACCTTCCCTTGTCTGAAACAGAGATGGAGCATGTAAGGCAGCAGTGCAGTTTCCTGTCCTGGTTCTATAATGTACTTAAAGATCCCCTCCAAACAGAAATACCCCCAGCTGTACCTAAACAAGAGAAGTGAAAGCATGAAAGCATACCTGAGGTATGTAAAAGAGTCCCAGAAGATTGGCCACAGCGGTAGAGATGCCAGAGCCGGTTGCCCCCACGACTGCAATGGTGGAAGGGATATGTTCTGAGCAGTTGCAGAATTCGTCCAGGTTCAAGGAGTCTATCTTGTTCTGGGCCACAAAACTCAGTGTGGCCTCAAGGGCTTTAGAGACTGTATTGCAAGTGTCAAATATCCTGTACCCTAGGGTCATGTTGGGAAGGAGAGTTGGGCTACTGTTTATTTCTTCTATGGCAAAGATCATAGCCTGGAGCCAGCGGAAGCCTCGGAAGTTATACCTGGGGGAAAAATAAAAATAAAACAGAGTGAGAAGGAGGCAAACAGAGGAGAGGAGACCAGGACCAAGACAAAGACAGAGTGAGGAATTCCAGATACAAAAGGCAAAAGTAACTTATGTGATTTCTTGCACCCTACTAAATTTGGAAAGTTTTGCTTTTGTGTTCAGTGGTTACAGAAGAGGCGTGCATATGCCACAAGGTTTTGTTCCATTTTTCAGCTCTTCAGTTTGGGAGCTCAGTTCAGAGGTCATGAGGATGAGGTGAACTTTTCTAAGTCCTCTAAAGCCTGGGAAAGTTGAAAGACAGCATGCCTGGGGTGTTGGCTCTGGCCTGTCCTTTCTGCTCAGTACCCTACACCTGGATCTCGTGATTCCTGAGCAAATGCTCTGACACAAAGCTACACCTACCAGGTTTCCTTCCAGGCTCCTCTGACATGTTTCTGAATGCAGATGGCAGTGTCTGCAAAGCCTGTGCTGAGTGTGATGCTGTCAGGGACTTGGGCTCAGGGATACTCAGTGTGTCAGCTCCGCATGGCTTTAGGCAGGCAGAGTGAGCTGAGACACAGCACTGGCATGCCCCTGGATGCAAAGGTGCCTGGTAGCTCTGCTCGAGGAAATTTGGCCTTACATCACAACCCTTCACACTGTGAGAGAGGGCACAGTCAACCTGTTTATAACCAGAGAACAGAGGCATGCTATAAATGTAAATCCTAGCTCCCTAACTTGTTAATTAGATACTACAGTGTTTTCATTAAAGGAATAAGCTTCTCTTTATTATAGTGCTCTCATACATTTGCTTTAGACATGAGCTCTGAAGATGCCATCAGAGCTGGCCTGTGAAATTTAAACTCTGTTTTTTGAAGCCTCCTCTGTTCTCTAAAATGGAGCAGCTGAGTTTTCTGGCTCTCTCTTAACTGTGCATGGAGCTAACCCAGAGCTGGGGAGTGGTGGCAAGAGTGTGCTGCAGGACCTGGGAGTCCCTGTTTAGAGCATTGCGTGGGCTGGCAGTGAAAGAAGCTGATGCAGGGTGAGTGACTACTTATCCAAAAAAAGAGAGAAGCTTCTTCATGGAAAGCAGCAGGAAGAAAGTCGCTTTGACATGTGTTATTCTCAAGTTTTACCTGCTGTGTTTTCTCCCGTAAAGCTGCAAAAGCAACTGGTTGTGTGCCTGTGAAGCTGCCATGTTTTAGGGTAATTCAGTTGGAATGGCAGAATCTTTCGTGAACTCAAACCTGCCCTTCCTTGTAATGCACTATAGGTCAGGATAGCACTCAATTTGCAGTTTTGTGTTGAGTTAGGTCTGGAAACAGGGAAGTGTCAAAGCTGTTATGCTTGAGATCCACTGGGAAAACTGACGGGTCCAGAACTGGAAGAGCCTGGGGAAATAGCCTGCCCAAGAACAGATGCTATATAAAATGGTAAATTCCACGTTTTGCATGAGTGCCATTTTGAAATGCTTTGAGAGGTGTTTCCATTACCAAGGTGAAGATTTCTAAAGATAAGCTCCATGAAATCACAAGCTTCCAATCTGTGAGATAAACAACCTGAACATCTTTTAATTGCTGGATTAAATGAATAACTTCTAAAGTTGATGTTAGCTATGTCTGACTTCTTTAAAGCTGAATGAACATAGCCACATTACTTCCATTCTAGGATTTTTATCTGATTTATCTGGGATCAGAAATTTCAGAGATACCACATCTAAGTTTTAAGTCTTAAAAACTTCATTTATTCAACTTCATTTCACCTGCTCCAGACATCTTTGGCCAACTTCCAAATGAGGTTCTGCTCTGAGGTTGCTCCTCAAAGACCAGACAGTATGGTTTCTGTACAAATCTCTTCAAGTCAGAAAGTTTGAGGCCAATAAAAATCCTTAGTTATAACTCTGAAATAAAAGGACAAGCCTCAGAGTGAAATAGGCAGTGAGTGTTATGTACAGAAAAAAGATATGCTGGGCAGACGATGCTGCCTCACGTAGTCAGTAATGCTCGCTGGGATCAATGACAGCAAGGAGGGGTTTTGTGACACTTCTTTTTAAAAAGAAGTTAAATATGTTTTCAGATATTTTTAATCAAAATGAAAACAGGATTTGAAGCAAGGAACTACATTGAGGCTCCTCATGTAAAAGAGAAAAATGTGAATGCATTTTCTGTATTTGAAGGGAAGACTGCTGAGAAGCTGGGAAGTTCAAAGGTACCACTATACCACTGTGAAAAGCTTCACACATTCGAGTATGTTTAAAAGTAAATTTAAGCCTGCTTACATTAAATTGTGCAGGTGGAGTATGACATGAAATTATTTTGCCTGCTCAACAGCAATTTGGCTTAATTTTTTTTAAATGCAGCAGGGCGGTATCTTCAAAAGCAGTGAGAAAACTGGGCTGTCTTACCCTTGACTTCAGAGAACGCGTTTGCTGTTTCATTCAGTAGATGTAGACTAAGGCCCATGATGCACAATTGCTTTTATTTTCCTTTCTGACATACGCTCCTGGTGAATGTTTATTTACAGCATAAGGCCTGTACTTCAGGTACTTGAGTTTGGATTGGTTTTATTTTGGAGGGGAAAGGAAGGCAGGGGTGTTTTCTGGGAGCTAGACTCCAAAATGTCTTTGAAATGCTTTTGATAATTTACCTCAAACTATCCTGGGAAGGAGACCTGCAGTTCTCTTCAGTTGCACCTCTGCTGATAGCAGCATCAGCAGATCAGAAGAGGATCAGATGGGATGGAGACAAACACACCTTGATCTGTCTTCTGTAATACTTAATAGAGCTTCAGAGAAGGTCTCATTTTGTTAACTGATACTGTGTTGTATCAGTACTGTAACATGGATATGGTCAGATGAAGGCAGTGCCACTAAATTAGTCTAAATGAAGCAAGATTTCACGATTCCTTCAATCAGGGTGAATGGAAATGTGTGTGGATAAATTCTCTCCCATTGTATTGTAAGACCCCAGCAAGGGGCTGTGGATAGGTTCCTCTTGGCTTGGTGTGTACATGAGTGATGGGTAAAAGCAGCCTTTGAACCTGGCAGCAGATTAGACCGATCCAGCTGACCTCCTGTGCTATGCTGCTGCTGTGACTAATATGACTAGTCACTGTAATGTTCTGTCAACCATGCAGAAATTTGACCGGTAATTTCCATGAAGAAACTGCAAAGGATTTGCTAACAGCAGCAAACTTTTCATTAAATTTCCAGAAGCTTTAAATAGCCACTGATATTTTCTTGGTGGAAAATAAGCAGCCTCCCAAACTTATTTTCTGCCATATTATTTTCCAGGTACATTAGCATAGTCTTGTACTTTAACATTTCTGAGATGTGGTGCTATGAAAAGTGGTCATTAAGCTCTAAATGAGAGTTTAATTTAAATAATTCAGTGCCCAAAGATGTAGATAGGAATTTTTATTTACAGTCAGTTCTTTAAATGCTTGTCCTCTGATGCCTGTTCTCCCACCTGTCAGAGTATGCAACCCATTGATCTTTCTGTTCCCAGGCAGGAGCACAAGCAGGCAAAGAGAAATCAGAAACAATTCCTCCACAAATCCTCATTTTAATTGTCACATCTGCATGGGACAGATTATCTTTGCAGCTGCCCAGTTTGCCAGATAGTAAACTCGCAAGATCTCACTGATTCCTGCAGGTTTCTTTCCAGTTGGTATAAATGTGTCTGTCAAGGGGTGCTCAGGATGGCTTAAGTGTCTCAGTCAATGTTACAAAGCAAAGTTATATAAATTAAGGGACATAAGCTCACTGCATAGTTTTAGCTCCTCATAGCTCCATCCCCTGTTTCTTTGCTTGTTTGTTTGTCTGGTTTGGTTTGAACAACTCATACTGTCTGGATCCAGCAGGGAAATTAGACCTGGTCCCTGTTTGTCTCCATAAAGGAATAATTCACAGCCTCATGTGAATTCATGACCTTTATTTATCAAAACTTGCAAGGCCCTAAACTAAAAGCAATAGAATATGAAGGAAAAGAAGGAGAAAGTAATGTGAAAGCTGTAAATACAGCTCCTGTAAATACATATCCAACAGGTACTTTTAATCAAGAATGGTGGCAAAGCCTGCATACGCCTCACGGCTCACGCCAGTACTCCTCTTTCTCTAGTGGTTGTATGCACATACTAATTTCTCTGTGGTCTGTAGATTTCCAGTACATTAATTACATGTTATTGCTGCTACTACCACTGCTATTACTAAGCTATGCAAAGGGGAGACCTTCAGCCATTTGTTGGATTCCTGTAGTCAGTAGGTATAACGAGTTGCTTACTACTCTCAGAAGTTAGGTCTAGGTAAGGGGAATTATGCAGACCAAAGAAAATGTAAAAAACCACCCCATTAATAAATTAATAAACATTAAAATTCAGAAGATGGGTGGAAGAGAGGAAAAGAAAATAATTCGGGCTCAGGGCGGAAATTCTAAATATCATGTTAGGCATTCACTTCTGCAATGGGATTAGCAAACACATCCACAAGGTGCAGAACTAAAATTCTGTTCTCTCAGACAGACACACAGAGTCAGTGAGCTAAAGCGTCCCGGAGCCATGCTCTGTGAAGTCCTGCACTATGACATGGGGATGGTATCTCACCAGACTTTCACAGCCTGTAAGCTATGTGTCACAGTGTGGGACCTTGGGTAGATTGCTGGCCAGAATACAGGGACTATGCATTAAAAATTATGAGCTAGTGACACCATATTGGCAACACTGTATCTCAGCTCAGTAAAGATATGTTCTCACTGCAAACAGTTTGTTACAGTAAGAGGAATCCATGGGTACCACCCATCTGTGCAATAATGCTAGCAATAATACTAAAGATACCACCACCATCACTACTGCTAATCTGCCTGAAATCAAGAAAGGATGGAGAAATCAGGTTATGAATAGGCCTCTGTGGGTGCTGACAGGGAATGGGGGTCAGGGGCAGCTTGTGCTGTGCTCAGCCTCTGCCTCCACTGCACACATCAGATATGCATCAGCAAATGTTACAAGGAAAGTTGCTGCAACAGCACTTGAGGCATACAAAGACAGAAAGTGTATTTATATCAAATGCGGGATGCTTGATTGCTTAAACAATAAGCCATGTAAGTATTTCTGAAACACAGGAAACAAAATTGCTCTCACTTTCCGTACTCTTATCTGACATTTGGTGTGGCAAAATCATGAGTAAGTTTTCACTTTGGACTCTACAACTCGGTGCTTAAAGCATGAAGATGAATTTGCAGTAGAATCAGCACAAAAAGAATGGAGAACAGGTTGTTACTGTTCCCTTTTCCTTTCGCTGCTGAATCATGTATATAGTTTTCCAAATAATCATGTGCAAGGTGTGCACAGTAGGTTTAGGCCAGTACATATGCTGAGCTGGGAGAAAGGTACTGTGCCACAAGAGTATGAAGGGTGTGAAAACTGAAAAAGCGGAGAGAAAACTGTCCTACCCATTTTGAGAAGCCCTGTTTGGGAGCATAGGTATGGCACTGAACACAGCTAAATGTGTGGGAAGATGTCCAAATATCACAGATCACGTTGAACCATCCTCAAAAGAAAGGAAAGCCACATTGTCTTAAATTTTTTGAATACTTAACTCCAGAAGAAACAGGGGCAAACCACCCCCAGGGTTTTAGTGGGACTTTTAGAGCAAGGAGCTCTTCATATGGTCTGATGGCTTGTTGCTGTTGCTGCCTAATGGAGGAGTATGAGGAAAGAGAGAGGATGCCCGCATACTCCTGGAATGACTTGGGTCTAATTTTCTTATGTGATATGAGACACATTTTCCTATCTAATTAGATTAAAAGCTGTACCCGGCCATCTAAAAAGGGTATAAAACTGATTCACTTCAGCTTTGAAAAGATACAGCAGCAGTGGAGAAGGCTCAGAGAAAGGCAACAAGGGCAGTCAAAGGTATGGAACAGATTTAGCACCTTCGGTTTGACCATGTACAGCCATGCTTATGGTCTTCTAGTGGATTTCCCACCCTCTAAAAGTTTTTGACACTACAAGATTGGGGAGATTTTACTTTGGAAAGAAACTAGAGCCTATCTTTTTTTTTCCCTTCTCCCCAGAAAATATGAGTTCACTCATTCCACACTAGCTACCTGCCCAGAACTGAGGAAACTCAAATGTGACATGAAAGACTCTAGGTCGTGACTTGAAGAATGTAATGGGCTCTTAGAGTCAGCATGCACAACCCTGCCCCAAGCTACTACCTAATCACGGAGTCCAAAATCAAAAAGGACCACTATGGTTGTGTTGTGAGATGTATGTATGAGTCCAGTCAGAGGAATTTGCTGACTTAAATTCTGCTTAAAATAGAAAAATAATTTCAGGAAAAATATCTGCTCTCAATTTAACATGTACCAACAAGGAAAACACCATAGCACATAAACTGTCCAATGCATTAATTATCTTCATCAAGCAAATCCAATGACCAGTCTCAAAAAGTCTTCCCAACCCAATCTCTTTCAAATTAAACCTTTCCTGGAAATGGACATTTTCTGGTGAAGACTTGGGAGATGAAGGAGCTTCCAGTCATCTCTGGTCCAATCATCCCCTTGTTCCTATTGTAGTTGCTACTACCTCTGCAGCTAGATCTCTGCCTTTCATTAAGTATTCTCTCTCCATTTGCATTATGCTATCAACTCACAATTTATCCAGGTCCTTGAAGGAGTGTGGCAAAGTGGCACAAATGCTTCTCCAGTCAACTCCTCTCTTTTGCACCTGTAACTTCTTGGTGCAGGGGTAAGAGGAACACAGATTTTACCCAGGCAAATTTCAGGTGGAGGATGCCTTTTAGCAGATCAGATGCCACCCAGAAGGATCTCCTGTTCTGTCCTTAAAACAGCTGGTCTGGCTTTTCAGGATTTGCGTGTTGTTGGCAGTGCTACCTCATTAACAAATCTTTTGGCAACCACACACTTGTAGTACTCGTGGGGGAACATTCCCTTGTGATCTGTTCCAATAACGTGACCATGTCAAGGGAGTCACCGAGGCTGACCCAGCACTGACAGAAATTAAAGCTATGTTCAGTTTGCAAATATCTGCACTGCCCTGCCTGCCACCCGGAGCAGGTGAAAAAGACCACAGAGCTGAAAACATCCATCGCTTTTCAGCATTCCTCTTTTAAAAGACTGCATCTGGGAGAGAAAAAAATGCTGAAAATCTGGCAGAGCTTCTTGCTTCATGAAGTGGACATTTCACATACATTTAGTTCATGACTTTCTTGTGCATGCATAGAAGAAGCCAAAAGAAACCCTGCTTAATTACACTTCTTTCTGTGGGCTCACTAAGAGACCATCTGGGGATGATCTCATAACCTAGATGGATGTGTCCTGCTCAGTGTCTCAGTGGGAAACTGCACCTGGAATCTAGGAATGCTGTCAGCCATTCTTAACTGCCATCTGCAACAGAACTGTACCAGATCCCCAGTCTAGGATGCGAGGTCCAAGTAATTCCAGATATATGATTTTTTCACATATGATTACAGAAGAGGTGCTATAACACTGAAGTGTTTTCCCATGCATGGTCATGACAAAATTCCACATCAATTTCTTGTATTTTGTTTATATGACATTTCAGTTGCAATCAGTTTCTGTCACACTTTATGTGTATTATGTGCAGGGTTGTAAGGCTAAAAATTCCTCATGTTTCATCATAAAAATGGCTACATATTAATAATAAGATACGATGTCTGCATGTGCATTTCTCCCTCCAGGGTTAACTGCCAAAGACTTAAGACAAAACCTATATGCACTGTTTACACAGAAGAAAAGGACTTTGGGTGAGGAAAGCCTGGGTAAGGAGTTCAAGTCTGGGACTTCGTAAAGGTCCTAAAAAGACATCTATGTGTTCAGTGGGATTCTTCAAAAGCAGTGACCCATCTCTCTTTCACCTATTTACTTCTTTAGGCAATTAAACAGTTTGTAAAGTCTTAGAAGATGAGAGGCAGAACTGGGAAAAAAGCCCCAAATTTGATTTCTAAGCTATTTTGCTATGCATGACTGTAATAAAATGAACTTAAGGGTACTATGGGTTATTTTCCATCCTTCTGCTAGGAAAGCTATTTTTCAGATACTATTCAAATGTCCACTGTGAATGGCCAGATAGATTCATGTTTTGGCAGCTTTGGGTAATACAAGGATTTCCCTCTTTCACTGTCCAAATATTATTTATGTTACTGTTTAACATATGCATTTCCTGCCTTTACACGCCTGTTTTATTCTGTTATTTACACCATACTTTCCCATTGCCATTGCAAGCATCAGACTACAGGCTGTATTTACACGGTGTATAGCATGTCACCTGTAGCCCTGAAAGGGCAAGACTCCCCCACTAAAACTTTTCATTTTTTATTTTCTTGGCTTACCTTATACACTCCACTGATTCTGGTCTTGATTTTAGATCCTGGTCTTTAGCAGCCACTCCAAAATGAATGGGGAACAATCCTCCAAGAATAATGTCTCCCTTCTTCTGTGCCCGTTGGTTTGGCCCATAGGCAGCTGTGTTCCAGGTAAACAGCAAAAGAATCAAGCAGCAGCTATATAAAGTCATTGTTCCTCTTTTCACCAGGGGGTTATAGGATGCAAAATTGGAAAAGGTGATGTAAGAAAGCAGATGTTGTAATGTCTAAGCTTTTCCTTTCCTTAATACAGCACAGAGAGGATTTGGGACACATGTCTGCAGGGAGATAAGCAACAGGGTGGGAGCCACAGTGCTGGTGTTTCTCCCTCTGTCTTCTCCATTGCAAAACAACAATTCAGCAGTCCTTCTTTCTTCATAACCAAAGCATTATGGAGAGCCCATCTCTGAGAACTGCAAAAGAAAGACATGACAAGTGATCCTAGCTGCACACCAGGACCCCACGCTGCCACGGCAGTTCTGCATTGTCCCATCAAGTTCTTAGTATGCCCCCATGGCTGCTCCCACTCAACAACCTGTGCAGGACACATGCCAACTTTGACAGAACAAGACAGACACCCCAGTGATGCCAGTCACACCTCCTCAAACAAATGTCATAGATTCTCTTGGATGCCTAACTCTCTATCACACATGTGAGGTGGGTGTCTTCCCACCATCTTCCTATGCTTCTGCATGACTCTGGTCACAGGAGACCCTCTAAAACTTGTGATCAGGCCTCCATGAACAGAGCACACTGTGAGAGACTTAGATGGGCAAGTGGGGAATAAGAAAGCATCAAATGCAGTAAGAATCAAACATTTCTCTTAAGAAAAGAACAATGATAATCTTTTGGTGTCGATCCATCCCCTCCTTTCCCTTGATGATTCTTAACTCTCTGGTTTGAACTTATCCTTGCTAAAAATGAAACAAGGTCACAAGAAAGACTTCTTTCACATTCAAAGTGAGGATGACTTCCAGGGAAGCATTTGAAATCAAGATCCTTCTCCATAATAAATCATGAAAGCTTGAAAGGTTTGGTGATCATGTCATTGCAAGCTTAGCCGTTGAGCTTTGAAGCCTGCATCCTGGGAATGAGAAATATTGCAGCTTCTCTGTGCTCAATACATTTTCCCTGCAGCACATCTACAGGCCTGCCAAGTGAAGAACTAACTTAATTACGGCATATGAAAATGGCTATGGCTATGGGGGAGGGGGTAGCACAACAAAATCATAATAAACAGCTCTTCAGCCTATTTGGAATAGGTTTAAAAGCTAGTAGTAAAAATCTGAAGTTAGTCAAATTCAGAATAGAAGCTAGGCATACGTTGCTAGTCGTCAGTTAATTTTTGAAGTAAGTCATCAAGAGTTTTCAAGTGCTGAGAACCTTTTTATGAGGATGACGACTTATGCACTAAATGTACCTAGACAGATTTGACCTGTACCTAGGTCAAAAAAGGAGCTACTGCAGGGAAGCACTGTGATCATGGGGGCTCTTCTAGTAGCCAGCCCTAATGATTATGCATGCTGTATGACCACCAAGCATTTGGAAATATTTCACACACTTTTGTTAAAATGAAGGTTCCAGGTGCAGCAGTCAATGGGAGAAGAGAGACAAAGCTCACATCATTCTGATGCCTCTGCAGCCAACACACTTAGACAGCTGCCCTTCTCTGTGGTGGGTCCACTTTAAACTATTTTTTGGTCCTGGCTTGAACAAGCACATTGTCATTGGCAAGGGCAATCAAATCTTTGGCTAAAAATGAAAATATGTCTAGGCAAACAATTTTTTACCAGGAAATGTGGAGTCACACTGAAAGATTTTGCAGGAGCATACTGGTTTTCATATGAAAAAATGTGTTTCATGTTCGCAGCATTCAGGTGACTCAATCCAAAGTCAGAAACTCCCATTTTGACAAACCTGACTCCTAGATTGCTACTGCTGAGTGGGGATTTCAACACTATCCTCAAAATCTAAAACATGGACATGAAATGTCCAGCTGCTGCTGACACTGGCAGTCAGAAAACACTTTGGGACATTCCTTTGGCAAGCAATTGGAGTTATGTCACATTGCTCTAGCCAGGATGCAATATCATCTATCGCTTGTGAGCATGTTGTCTTAACATCTGACTGGTACCTTGTACTGACAAGCCTCTGGTATTTGCATGTGGCCCTTTGACAGCAGGATGACAGAACTTTAACCAGAGCCAGGACAAGCAGGTGACAAAGCAGTGCAACAAGCGAGCATGTGAAAAACTGTCCCTGAGCTTTTGGGTTTGCATTTCCCCTGGCAGATGGACGGTGGCTGTTGCTTCTTTGGTGCCCAACAGAAAAAGGAAG